ATATAGGTTTCTCAGGAGATAAATAAGGTGGTCAGGCACTCCCATTTCTTTAAGAACTTGCCATAGTTTGCTGAGCTCCACTCAGTCAAAGGCTTTTGCATAGTCAATGAAGCAGAAGTAGATGTTTTTCTGGAACTCTCTGGCACAGAGAGTTATGGGTACAGAACCACAATAGCCCATATACATTAATTAGATGTGTTTTTTAAAAATAATTGAATGTCTCTACACCAGACTCCAGAACCATCCTCTCCTGCTCATCCAGTTTCACTCTTAGTGAATTAGAACCAGTCTTACCAACATCCCTGCTCACTCACCATTTCCATCACATACTTACCAAATCATATTATAAATAATGCATTTAAATATAACCAGGCACCCCAGACACTACTTCCCAAATGTGGAAAAATTCCCCCCACTTAGTCATAAACAACCTCTGTGTTTTAGTACCATAGTGTCTAAAGCTAGAAAATCCTTGCATGCAGAGTGACAGAAAAGCATCCTAGATGAACTGACAAAGTGAGTAATATGAAAATAAAGGTGTCATTAAGCAAATGACACCAAGAACAATGCAGACCTGATGTCAATGGGCGTAGACCTTGAAACTAAGAAAAACAGAGACCTGTCACCTTGTGGGAACTGGGATACACTGTCTCCAGGATTAGTTAGGCTTGTTCTCACTGTGATTGTCAACCTGCACTAGGCCTATGTCTCTTCAGACTGTTGCTGGAGACCAACACGACTGATATTCTTCCAGAAACACTCCCTTTGCATTTAAAAGAGGACAGTTGTACTTTACCATTATGACTGTGAACAAGTGGACTTCAAAATTCTCCACATATTTGTGGACCGAGAAACTGCAGAGAATGAATTTACTGAATGTCTCAAGGAGAAGGAGAAAATGCTCTAAAAAGTTATCAGAGGTGGTGCACCACTTTGTTCTCATCCGATCCCAAATACATTGTTATCTTCTTGCACTGCCACTGCAGGTGGCAACAAGCGTAACCATGTTAGCAGCTTGGCCATCATTTTGCTTCCTTTACCTACTATCATTAGAAGGCACTACAACTGTGGTGGCAGTGGGGAGGTAGCCACTAAAAATGGTGCAGAAAGTTTGGAAATAATTCTCCAAAGTAGCCTGTTATTTCTCAGGACTAAGACAAAGAAAAATCACACAAAGCCCAAAATTTTCTTGTGCAGATGGCGTAACCTCTGGAGGCGAATTGTCCTTAGTTATGAAATTATCAGTTGTGTTCTGAGTCATGCAACTGATAATATCTGTGCTGATTTTTTATCTGAGGGTAATTCGCTTCCAGAACTTCTGCTGTTTGTGCTATGCTATTATATTTTGGTAAGAGGATTTGGGCCAATTTTCTTTTTTAAAAAATCTTCTGCAAAATGTTGGTTAACATTTGTTATCAGTCTTCAGACTTCAACACCTTCTCCAGTCATTGCCTAAATAAATAAATAAATAAATAAATAAATAAATAAATAAATAAATTTTTCAGAAATGGAACAGAATCCATCCCCCCCACCCCACTATGTGTTCAATGATCAATTGTGCAAGTGGTTGGGGTAGCTTGTGGAAGGGGTATTCCCTACACAAAGAGAAAACCTCATTGTTTTAAATGGGGCAATCTCTGTTAATGTTACAAGAAGGCCAAGATCACATGGATGTTCTCTGAAATGTTATGCTCTGCTTACCTCCACAAAGATCCAGCAAAATAGTGTCCCAATGAATGGGACAACAGCAGTAACAAAAGTCCTGTGTTATTCTGTAGTTGAAATATGATTTAGTGAAGCTCATGTCAGTCCTTGGATAAGAAACAACTCCTTCTACCATCAAAATAGGCAGAAAGCAGAAGACAATTGCAATCTGAAATCCAATTCCTTGCATAAACAGCATATTGTTTCCTAAGACTGTAGAAGTTTCAGAGAGGTAGCTATCTTTGTCTGTAGCAGCAGAGGCAGCAGCTTTAACTAAATACAGTACTTTGTTTCTGTGTGGGTTTGCATGGATATAATCCACTTCCTGTGTCAATATACTTCCTTTTATGCATCCTTGACACAGAAATAAATTTGCTAGTCTTCAAAGCGTTGCTACACTTTTGTTTTTGTTGTTGCTATGTTTGTAAAATGTCCTCTCTGTGAAAATGGAACTATGCAATTCATTGCTTTGCAGCCAGGTGACCAGTCCCTCAAAGAGTCAGAATTCACAGCCATGATTTTATTCTGCATTTATTATTTTTTCATAGTGAATTAGGTTTGGTAGATGAAAGAAGTCAGTCCCAGCTGACAAAATCAGGGATGGGGTCATAGCTGTTTTGGTGCTATTTCTACAATCTGGAAGTCCAACAAAATGAAAACATACAGTACTTTGAAAAAAAAAACTCTAATGTGTTTTTTTTCCAGAGGGATGTTGATGGTGATAATTGTACATCAAAAGATGATGACACTGCACTTGCTGCTGATACCTTCTCGGAATCTGAATATTTTCTCAGAGCATTCTGCAAGTATAACTGAGGATCTGTACCTGGAAATGCCCGAGGTTACACTTAGAAGGATCATGTCCTGTGGTTGTATCTGTCCAAGAGACAGAGTATCTAGATGGAGGAGCACAGCAGATGCATACTAACCCAATCTTGTCCAAAAAGACCAAGTATGGAGACTGATGTCATAAGAGGCAGGGCTGGAAGGACCTGGTGCAGAAATTCACAAACAGCTCCCTGTAGACATAACATTTGAGATTGCATGAGGCTCAAGAACAATGCAAGTAAAGAAGCAGTGCTAAAAATCTTTGAAATTCTCATCAAAGAAAGCATTCTCTATCACATAAAAGAGAGTAGCAATAGAGAGGCATAGGGTGGTTACAGGACCCAGCTTGTTTACAATGTGGTGAAAATACTGATTAAACCACGTTTCCATACTGAATGAAATGTGGTGGGATACTATTTTTTTATCATGTGATTTCTTCACAAAGAGGAAGTGTGCTCAGGTAAACCTTTATCTTGATACCCAAATGAATTTAGACATGATTTATATAGTTATCTGATTTCACATTGGAATGAATCCTAAATGTCAGCTGTAATGGACTCTTACAGACACAAACTAGGTTATAAATCTTATAGTGCTCTGAGGACTTTGAGTGTCATACATTTGATCCTGACATTTGAACAGAGAGATGGTCTGCTAACCTAATGTACATTGACACTATTTAACAGAAAAAGGAACACTTCCCACTATTCCTGGCTGTTTATTCTGCATGAGGACAAAGTACTGTATAATAAAAAAAACAGCAATGGGTCAGAGACCTGCTTGCAAGGCCCAGCAACATGTCTAGCATGCTCTGGCTGTGTGTGTTGTAGGTTATTGGAAGCAACTCAATTTATACTTGAGAAGATGCATGCATTTGCAAGCAGGAGAGTATAGAGTACCTCCTTGGGTTTCTTAGGGCCTATCCAGACTGGCCATTTTGGGTGTGAGCTGGATTGGGCTACAAAGAATCTTTTGAGGTTGTGTGGCAAGGGAGAAGTGATGTGCCATTTGGTATGCTCCTCCTGTCTGAACATCAGTTGTCCATTAAGCACTTCCACTGATCGTCTGTGGAGGGTCAGGCAAAGTGAATTTCTTTTTTTTTTTTTACATCGCCCAAGTCTCTTGGTGGCATTTCCCCCCCCTGCTTCCCTTCCCTAATTCTCCCCCACTTTTTCTCTCCATCTCCCTCAGAATCTGCAGTCATGATAGCTGAGTCTGTAGGGTGCTCTTATCTCCTGGCTAAGCAGGAGCGTGCTAAAAAGAATGCATGACCTACTGCTGAGCCAAAAAGATGTGTGACAGCTCTTAAAGGGGAAGGATGGATCAGTCTAAGTAGAAGCACATGCAGATGTGGGTTTTTTTTAAAAAAAGATCCTAACCGTGCCATCGGTGATCCATATATCATGTCTATGTGCTGATGTCACTTCCTTCCTTATACTAATCTCTTGTGTGCCCCCAAGAATGAGGTATCATTATTTAGTTCTCTAAAGATGAAAGGGGGAGCCATGACTCCTGACATCTCCAACTTAGTCAACTAGACATAGAACTTTTATTACAAACTTCCTTTTCAAAATTGTATAGATTGTTGTTTAGAGGCTTTCCCCTTCCCTTTCACTAATACAAGGTCATAGGCATCCTTCAGTCTTGAGAGACTATGGTAGTGTGCTTCACATGGAGGACTTGGAACAGCGTCTAGTGTTTTGATGCTGTACGTGAAGCTGAAGTGTCCTCTCCAGAGCACGAAGCCTGGGTAAAATAATATGGAGGATAGGCTGTTACCCAACAAGCAAATCCCCCCTCTCCACGTCACTGAGATAGTCCAATGGAAAGGCAAGAGCCAATACAACTGGTTTCAGCAACATCGCAGGAGTTGACGGAATGACACGAACTGCCTCCGGGACTCCGGCTCCAGATTTTGCCTCGAGGTTCACTCCTGAAACCTTTTCCATCAGTGGATATAGCCACAAGGCAGTGGAGCTTTGAAATCGGAGTGTTCCTTCTCCTAGATGGGCTGTCTTCCAGGGCTGAACGAGTCCCATCTACCCGGCCTGTTACCTCATGGCATGGAGGATGATGGCGGCGCCTCAGTTGGGGTTTGAAATCGGAGTTATGGGGTGTATATTTAGTGTACAGTACGAATTTAGTGTATAGTAAGCACTATTATTTGTATTTTTGTGTTTTTGTATTTGTTTTCTGTTTTAAAAATAATAAAAATATAAACTAAAAAATTGGACTTTTACCACTTTTCTTATTCCAAGTGTATTTTTTCTAATAAACACAAACTTTCTTCTTTTCTTTGAAAGAAGAATGGATGTCATTTCTTCACCAAGAGGTAAGTGTGCTGAGGTCAACGTTCCAAGTCTCAAGGGCTAATGCCACACATTAATGTTGCCTCGGTAGGGTTGTGTGTGTATTCTTCAACAGTCTGTAAGGTGCCTGGCACAAAGAATGGACCCTCAGTGATGAATATTTCCTTTAAAAGACACTATTTTATCATTGGGGTAACAAACAATCTCACAAGACCATTAAGACTCTTCGGAGTTTATTTTGTTTTCCTATTTTGAGAGGTTCAAAACAAGGCTTCTATTGTTTGGAGCTGGAAATAATTGTGATACTATCTTTAAGACATGGTATTTGTGCTAATTATATTTTTTCACAGCTACTTGAAACAAATGTTTCTGTTTTCATGAATACATGTCTCCTAGATTTGGGAGTTCAGGTGTTACAAAGTACCCTTGCTCTTGGTTCATAACCATTCCTGTGGACAAGGGGCATTTTGATATGCTGCAGTACACAGAAATTCTCATGAGATGAAAAAAATACTGCAGAGTTCACTCTGTGCAAGCTGTTTTTTTATCTGCCTGGATGAGCACTGAGGATTAATACTACAACTTGGGTCAGAAAACACGCTGGTACTCTATGGAAGTGACACCACAGAGATGGTTACAGGTCCAGACTTTCTGGTTCCATTTAGCAGCTAGGTGGCTTTGTTTTTCCCCAGCTGAAATTTCCAAGCAGTTCTCAAGAGGTCTCATATAGAAGGTGCGGCAGTAGTTCATTATGGAGATAATTACAGCATGTGTAACAAAGGCTAGATGCTGCTGTCCCTAACAGAGCTGCAGCTGGTATAACTAGACTGAATCAATTGCCATCATTAACCTTTTGCAGGCTAGTAATTGGTCTTTGAGATTGATTGTTTTTTGAATGTCATTACCAGAGTCAAACTAATATTCAATCAATTTACCACCTATAAACACCATTCTGCATTGTCACTCATTAATAGTATTTCAATTTCAAAACCTTAACATCTCTTTTTTGGTGTTGGTAGCAGGATGTTAAGAGGAGAGATAGAAACACCTGTAACAGATGTGCTGGTGTGATAAAGACAATGTTTTCTGGCAGGCTGTGATACATTCAATAACTGCCTTTCCCAATACAACATTGCAATCACAGATCTTATCTGTAAATATATCCTATTTTAATTTTTTTAAAAGCTAATGACTAATTCCTCTGCATTTCTTCTGTGACATGTCTTGTTAAACAAGTGTCCTACTTCTCTTGGGCATGAATATTCAAGACCTACTTTTTCAGGTGAATGACTCATAGCTTCAGCAACATGTGGACCCCGTAGTAAAAGAATACAGCATTACCAAATCAAACAGAGTCTGAAAACAAGGCTGGCATTTTTTATTATTATCTCACAAACAGGCAAGCTGTCAGGTGTTCACCAGACTTGGCATTACAGAGAAGAAGAGTGCAGAAAAAAGTCCCTCAAATCATTGTGGTCAGATGTTCAGGACAGACTGTCTAGTTCAAATCACCATCCAAAATGGAGGCTGCAGCTTTTTACAACCAGCCTGAGGTGATAACTTCCAGGTTTCACCTCAAGCAATGTAGATTTCATTGTCCTTCCTAATCTGTCTTTTAAAGGTCCATGGGAAGAAAGGGTTACCAGTCACTCAATACCAACCCATCATCCTGTCTTGAAGTGTATGGCTTCTGCTTGACTGGGCACACAGAACTACAGTGAAACCCATAGTGGAGAAGTTTTGGACAAAACTTAGTTTACAGTTGTGGCAGGCACATGAAGAATATTACTCGCAGAGTGGAGGAATATGCAACCCTCAGGACAATGCAGTCCTTTGTGGGCAATGATAAATGCCCTGTTAGTGGTTTGATAAAGTTATCACTCAGCTGTGTTTTTGGACTGTGTACAAGAATCATACATCTTTTTTCTTTTTCATTGGACTATGGAAAATAGACTGTGTACAAGAATCATACATCTTTTTTTTTCATTGGACTATGGAAAATGCTCTGAATAGCCAACAAGGGCAATATTTACAACCAGGCAAAGACATTTACCATCATCCAAGAAGAACTGCACTGAACTGAGGAAAGCCGGTTCCCTCACAAGGCTGCAGACTCCATTCTGGAACTTCCTTTAAACAAGGCAGCTTGACCTCAACATCTGATCATGAGGATTTGGGGAGCTTTCCTGTTTCTTCTGCATCCCTCTTGCTTTGTAATTTCTAGTCTGGTGAAAAGTCATGCAGGATTCTAGTGGTTTAATTAAGGTATCATAATATTTTTTTTTCAGATTGAATACAAGAACTATATGGGTCATGCAGGATTCTAGTGGTTTAATTAAGATATCACAATATTTTTTTTCCAGATTGAATAGAAGAACCATATGGCCTCTTCCCTTCCCTTCCTTCAGCCAAATTAACTGTATATTGGTGATTAGCAAGCAACAGCACGATCTACTAAAACCTCCTATTTTTCTATGCAACATGCAAGTACTGTTGCTACAAACGGGAAGAATCCCAGTCAATGGTTGGGAAATCTGGGATGTTGCTTTGAGACTCAACCCCAAACAAACATCACATTCACTTTTGTGTTTTGGATGCCTTATCTGGTGTTTCTCTGTACTTTAACATTGCTGTTCAAACTAGGTTTGCTACAGACAACAAATAAGCTAGATTATTTGTAAAGCAATTCAGAGCACATCCTGTGGTGGAGTAATTTATTTATTTATTGGATTTCTACCTTGCCCATGTAGACCAAAGGTCTACTCTGGGCGATTTACTAATTTAAAAATGAACTCTGGCACCAACTGGATGTGTGTGAAGATTAATACCCAGGTTTTAAAGTCACAAGATACAGAAAAACAAAAATAGTGTGGCATTCACCCTTATTAAGTTAAATAGTCATGCAAGAAAACCAAAAACCAAAAACATATGTTTATAAGTTTTTATGAATAAACATATATTTATATGAATAAAGTGGTGGAGCACATTGTGCAGCAGTTCTAGGCATGTATGGAGACAAAACTCTGCCATTTTGGTCTGACTGGGGTGGTGGTAGGGGCGTGCAGCTTTTGCAGTCAGTGGCCATCATGGCTGAGAGGAGTTGTAATTTAAAAATGTGACATATCCAACAGATTGGGTCGTACATTTTTCTGGTCTTGTAAAGTCATGTCCACCTAGATAGCCATCTCACCTTTTTTCTTCACATGATGATAAGGGGCTTCTGCGAGTTGTACTCCAACGAGCAACTTTTCCAAACTGAGAGCCTCATGTAGCCAAATGGAGTATGCTAGCCGTACATAGGATAGTTTACATAATTCTTGCTTGCTCTGTCTTGATAGAAAATCAAGGCAAGTGCCAGCAAGCCGCGGAGAAAGCACAGACCTCATGAACTGTGTCTGGCTTTGCAAATCACAGATGATACCTCTTAACTCTTTATCGTGGGAGAGTAGCTGAGAAAGAAGCAGCACAATCTTGCTGAGGCTGCAAACAAAACTTTGGAAAAGAAACATCAATAATTGTGCCAGTGCAAGTGGATTACCATTTTACCACTGTTGGTTAGGATCGTTCTTTGATATGGTGTGCTGCATTATCATCAGTATTATCAAATGCCCTTACATAAAGCTGCTTATAAGGATGCATAAACATACACACACAAGTAGCCCAATACCGTGACTTGCTAGCTAGATTTAGATAGGCCGCTATTGGTTTCCAGATGTTCTGGCCCTGCAGTATCTATCAACCCGAGCCAACACAGCCAATAGTTAAGGACCACAGGAGTCGCAAGTCAAAAACACCTGGTCTAACAATTACCCACCACTGTGATAACCTCTTGTGATTGCCTACCTCTGAGTTTGTATAGTGGGCCAAAACAATCCTGACTCTGAAGCGCCACAAAAAGAGAACAGGAACTGAAAACTCACAGAAGGAGACTTAAGCCACACCCTAAAAAGCAAGCCAAATGCATATGGTCCTTGGATATACACTGTCTTGCATTTGTATCATTTCAAACAGCCTTCTCCAACTCAGACCCTTCATAGGGTTGCTTCATTCCTGGCCATAGGCCTTGCTGTGCTGGCTGAATATGGTGAACATGAGTGTAATGCACCTGGCAGGGTTTGGCTCTAGAAGACTGGTTTAGACACTAGTCCTGTTTTGTAGCTGAGGGACACTAAGGCTTAGCAGTCAACAACTACAAGCCAGTGATTCCATGTCATGGATGCTTTAAGCAAATAATAATAAGGAGAGTAGTTCTGAGCATTCAGAGTAGACATGGGGATGAATAAAAAAATCAAATTACAATATTTGTTAAAAATTTCTGATTCATTAAATATTCATCCCTTCACATTCGTCAGTTCCAGAGACCCCAACGAATACGAAGGGACAAATATTGCCCCATTTTTATTCATCCCCCATAGGGCCTTCCCATTCTATCTATGGGTCTGCCAATCAGCTGATCGGCAGGCTGAAAGGCAAGCAGCCAGCCCCACAGCCACCCACCCCCACAGCCTATACCTGCCCCCTTCCTCTCCCTACCTTAGCTGCTGCCACCATCCAGCACTGACGTCATCTGTCACCACCTGCTGTAGTAGCCTCCCCAGCCATGGCCTGCGGTAAAGGACAGTGGGTGCCCTTTGCAAAGATGGTGGCTGCGGCTTCATTTAGGGTAGGGAAGTTGCAGCTTCCATCTTTGCAAAGGGCAGCCAGTGTCTCTTACTACAGGCCATAGTGGCGGAGGTCAGCTGGAGACAGCAGCAGGGGTGGTGGTGGTGGTGAGTGGCAGCGGCGGCACAGTGGCGGCGTAGGTGTGGCATAGATGGCATGGCAGCAGGAAGGCAGTGGCAGCAGTCACAGAGTGGTGGTGGTGGTGTAATGGTGGCTGCCACCAGAAATTCTTCATCATCATTTTTCCCCTGTAACCCACTTCCTCTTAGAAATATCAGCTTGCCTTCCCCGCCCCCCTTAACATGTGCCAAGATCTCACCAGAATTCAGCCAGGCTACTGGAATATGGAAAACAATATGTTGAACCCTTCTTCCTCAGCATTAAATTGCTACAGTATGCTGCGTCTTTACAAATTTAGAAGCAAGTTGCCTCTGAGACATGCCTGGGCAGGATTTTTCTGATGAGAGCTCAGGCCAGAATCCTTTATCTCCACCAAAAAAGAAACGGAAGATTGTCTTCGGACAAACACTGGCTCTATGGCTTGGAAACAGGGATGAGCACCGCCCCCTAGAGTCGAACACGACTGGACAAAAATTGTCAAGGGGAACCTTTACCTTTACCTAACATAATAAGGGTGAACGCAACAACACTATTTTTGTTTTTCTGTATCTTGTGACTTTAAAACCTGGGTATTAATCTTCACCCACATCCAGTTGGTGCCAGAGTTCATTGGTTCAGGAATAAACTGAACTGACATCCCCCTCCCCGCATGGCACAAGAAGCCAACATATCTGCATCCACCGCATTTTCTCCCCATCCTTCTTCCCCTTACTCCTGGCTTTTTGGTATACTGACATGTCATTTGCAGCAAGGCAGGGATTGGGGCACCACAATTCTAACTTGTGAGCCTTCTTGTTGCATATTTGCCTATCCATCATTGTGATATCACAAGGATCCACCTTCTACTCTCATATTTTGGCCTCAGATCACCAAGAATGGGATGCTGCTGACCTGTTAATACAAGGGTATGTAAATATAAGAATAAGGAAAATAGTCCTCTTATACTCCTACCCTTCATCCACCTTCCCTACAGGCTGTGGGAATTTTATTTCCTACTGTCTGTAGTTTGACTGCTTGAGACTATTCTGATTATCTATCCAGCATTAACCAATTGTTCCTTTCAGCCTTTGAATTACAAGAGTGCCCTACTTCTTTGCTGAGTGTCTTTCCCCTCTCTTTCTTCAGCTGGTGGCAGTTGTTTTGTTTATCGTTGACCTGTTCAGTTGGTTGCTAAGAATAGGCAAGGAGAACACCATGTACAAGTCTATAATTTCAAGCAACTGAAAGTTAAAATGTGTTTTTACTGTTTCTACTACAAATGTCTCAGAGTGAGTTATTGAGACTCTATCAATCAATGAGAAAATGGTGGATTCTGTGGAACTTGTTGCTATTCTCCTCTGTGGGTCTCTGTACTTTAGAATGCATAGCGAAAAGGATTTTTCTAGAAATTCAAAACTTCTGCGACACAAACTTTCAAACAGGACAGATTGGGGGGAAGCAAAGAATGTTTACCAATGGTAAACCTTCTAATTTTTCATTGGACTCTTAAGACTTTAAGCAGGTTCAGGGTGGGAAAATCCAGGAAATATATTTAAAATAATTCATTTTGCACATTTCCTTCTTTTCCTCTAGCAAAAGTGCTTTAAAAAACCTGTTTTTATTTTGATTTATTTTATTCCTTAAAGAAAAACATAGTTAAAACAACAAAAATATAATATCCAGTTGTGTGATCTCTCCCCTCCCCTTTCTGCCCCCATGAGCCCTAAAAACTTGCTCTGGGCATCTGGGAACTTCCTGAAGCCAGTTTTCAGTGCCAAAGAGGACTTTATTTGGGGAAGGAGGAGGACAAGAAAGCCCATGTTCTCCTGGTGGTGATAGATATGGATATTCATTGTTTGATTTTGGCCAGAAGAGCTAATGACCTCAATATCTAACATAAGGCAAATACTGCAATTCTGCTGCAGCTTTGTTGCAAATCTTTCACAATGGGTTTCCTCAAGTGCTGCTGGACTGGGCAAAAGTATTATCAGAAAACCAAACAGCACTCTGTTGCTTTAAATAGAAGCATGCCCATTTGGATTCCAACTTACCATTGCCTTGTACATCAGCGAAGTCAAATTGTCTGAACTCCCCCCAAGCCACCTGTATATATTTTAGAAATTGAGAACTAAGATTTGTCATAGTTGTTGCTATATCACTGCCAATAAAAACAGCTGTCTTGCAAGGAGAAAAAATGATGCATTTCTTGGCTGTTATTCTAAATGCAGCATTTCAAAAGCCTTGTTCAAAAGATGGGAGAAACAGAGCAAGGGCTTGGGCCTCCTGCAAGCGTCTCACTGTCTACAGGAAGGCTTGGATTAACACCTCTAACGCCAAAAGCAACTGTTTATTATGTGAGCCATAGCTTCAGGGTATGCAGATTGGGAGTGTTCATCATCTCAGAGTTTATCATGCCTTTATAAATAGAGAAGTAAATATATAAATTATCAATTTATAAATATAGAAGGGAGTTTGCTGAAGACAGATGGGGCAAAGCAATCCAACATCTGACTTTGTGTAATACCTGCCTTAGAGAAGAGAGCTTGATGCAACCAATTCCATGCCAGTGAAAAAAAGCAGTAGGGAGATGTAGGGCTGACTAAAAGCAAGGTGTGAACTGCAGTCTACAGTTCGCTGACCTATCATGAACATCAGAGCACTGCTGCGGATCTTTCAAATCAAAAATTTCCCTCAGGGCTTGGCTGGATGTTGGTAGGTACTTCATTCAGCAACTGATTCTCAGAGCTACTGTGCAATTTCCTTCCACCTGCACAGACAGTTTGAAAAGCCGTTCTTATCTGAATGAAGCTGGATCACACCCAATGAGTATGTACCATGGAATATAAAATTTTGTTGGGAACATATAAAAGCAAAGGTTGGGAGTAAGTAGTTGCAAGTACTTCATTACTTGTAACTATCCTTTCCCCCCCCAGATGAATAGAAGTGGCTTATAATTACAATTTAATGAGGGAAACTATCATTTCTTTTGCAGCATTACTTTTCCCATGTTTTTCTATTTTAGTTTAAGGATGTGTGTGGCCTTACCAGATGGTGAAGGAGGGCACTGCATGGCCCCAGTGTTGCCTTGGAGTCTGTGGTGAGGTGACGTCAATAGCTGCCTCACGTGATTGGCTCAGTCTGTCTAATGGTAGGGCTAGTTGTATATGCAAGCTATCAGGAATACTCCAAAACAAGATTATTCTGGAATAACAAAAAAGGATATGAAACAAGAATTATGAATGTATCAAGAATGTAACAATTCATTTAAATCATAACATGACATTAGCAACCAATGAATTAATCAGTCTTATTATAATTTTTTGTTTAATGTGAGTGAGATTTTAGAACTTGAGAAGTGCACTATGTTCTGCCAATTAATATAACATATAGGGCTTCAAGGGATATATCTACAATCAGCATTTGTCGAGTCAGCAGTATTGGAGTGCCTCAAAGATAAAACAATGCAGAGTGCTAACTGAGACACAAAATTTGGACTACTAATTTGTGCAGTCCTCAAAGTCTGTGAAATTTGCATTTTCCAATGGCAAACTGAGTGAAACGGAATAATTACTAAACAAAACAGGGATTTAAAGTGTTTACAAGGAAGAGTGATAACCATGTTGTTATCACACTGCAGTACATAGACCACTGCATAATCAGGTGGGAGCCACTATGTCTTCTTCCCACACACCCATAGCAAAATTTGAAAGAATGTGAAATGGGATTGTTGTAAGGGGGCACAAAATATGATGGAATAGGCTGATGAAATGTGCTCTGTCCATATGGTTCTAAGATTCCAAACACTACTGTGAAGTCATGGGCAGAGATATAGTGGTAAATTTAGGATTAGAAATTGCCATGCAAATCCCTGTGCTTAATCCCTACCTCCATCAAGAGAGCCCATAATTGCAAGCAGTTGAATCAGTCCATATGAACAAAGGAGAGGTGCGTATTTTGTACAGTTAATGGCTCTTAACTACTAATTTAAGACCAAGCCAAATGTTTTGCATTGCAATAAAATTTTGTAAAATATTCTGTTTCAAAGAAAATCCATTTCTCTCCCAGATACTGAGAGGGTTGAAGTTAAGGTCAATGGGAAAAGGGAAGCCTAGTGAGGGTGGAAGATGATGTCACAGTACCACTCCTCAGAATGACCTGGGGTTTTGACCCTGTGAGCCCTGGGTCCACTACAGCATTGGTCATGAGGGGAAAAAGAAAGATAAGTAGGTCACTGTTGCTGCATTAACATTCAATGAGGCCCTCAGTACATGACTGTCAATATTGCCCATCATTCAGCAAATATTTGCTTGTTCTGGGTCTGCTTTCTCAGTTGCTGCTATGCTACAATCCCAGCCCTTTTGTTAACTGCCTTCACCTTCAGAATAAGAGTTTTGGGAGGAATATAAATCTATACAAACAATCAGCTATGCCACTCTTAAGTGAGAAATGCTCCTTTTAAAAAGAAGAACCACAGCTTATTTGTCAGTGGAGAAATTTCCACTTACAATGAGGGTGGGGTGGGGAAGAGAATATTTCCTACCACAAGAGCAGTTGTGGTCCAGTTTTGAAACCTTCAGTCCTGTTGCTAGGTGTGCCATGCAAACAACTTTCGTTCTGTAAGTACCGCCCTTTAAACAATAATGTTAACATGATCCGTCCAAGGAATTTGATAAGCTTTCGGCAACAAAGGCTCAGTCTAAACTGGCCTTGTTACGCAGGTTTCTTATGTTTTGAGTTAGGTGAAACACATAGATACCACCAGGTGGATAATCTCTTAATGCAAATATATGTTTATTGGCAAAAGCTAAAACTGTTTTTTTGCCAAATAACAAGGGATACTTTCAATTTGGCTTTCTCTCTTTCTTCTCAATCAAGACACATGTGGTTTATCCCATTTCTGACTGAGGAGAAGAAGCGGGAGTGCAGGGAGCAGAGATGGTGTTGAAGCATTTTTAAAAACATTTTCTGATTAGGGTAAGACTACCTTTACTCAGTTGTTCAGGGTAGTAGAAAATTGGAAGCATGAGCAGAGGGAACCGAGTAGCCTCATCTCCTTCCCTAATTACTCTCTTCAGGTGAACAACAAAATCTGAAAAGAAAGTGGGGGAAACCTAATTTACAGAGGTCAGATTCAGCCTGTTACTTTCTAGGTGAAGAGTGCAACAAATAAAGGGACAGGGTGGTGTCCACCCTTCCTTTTGTGTGTAGTTAACCCTTCAGGGGCCGCTTTCAGGAGGACCAGCAGGAGTGCCTTGCCTCGTTTTGAATGAATACTGAAATGACCAATTACAGAGTAGCTGCCCTCAATCAGAACTTTTGTGTAAACAGCCATGCTTATTGAGGTCGGTGCTTCATTTTTTCCATAAAATTTTTAGAGGCAGACTGTAAAATGTGCTCATCTGATTGGATTCACTCATCCTCTTATCTCCCTTGTTCCAAATGATGGTGGACTGTAATAAGACTGAAGAAAACTGCATAAAGTTCTGTTATGTTCCTCAGCTGTCAGGACATTGTAGTCCTATATTCAGGGGATGGAATACTTTGGTGAGTATAAACAATTTATATTTTGATTGTTATTTAAAATGTGTTACCTTGGATAGTTACCTGACAGTGACCTTTTATTGCATAGAACTGTTTGCCCATAGATCTAAGATTATATTTTGCATCCTTGATATTTGAAAAGTAATATGATTGACCTCTTTCTGGATGATAGGGAATGAACTCCATGTTTGGAGGTTGTTAAGGGAAACACACAGAGGGATAGATAAGATCTCTCTGAGTCCTGTGCTTTATACTGTTGAAGGGAGTGTGGGCTTTAAAAATAAACATGAAGGCTGAAGCCAACAATCCCCCTTAGCAGTATGCGGCAGGAAGGAAGTAAATCTTATTTGATGGTAGATGTACCAGCTCTATTTTGAGCAACATTCACTGACAAAGGACATTTTCTAGCCAGGGAGAAGACATACACACATTTCTGTGCAACAGTTGGTTTACTGCCAGTGGATCTGGCTCAGCTTCTGCGGTTGAGCACTGGCAAAGCATATGGATTGGAAAAAGTGTAACAGGCAGACGGGCTGGAGGAAGCTGGAAGTCAAAGTTGAAGAAGGATGATGGGACTATTGACAACCTATGCAAGTGTGTGTGCGCGCACATGTGTGTACATGCATGGACTATTGACAACCTATGCAAGTGTGTGTGTGCGCATGTGTACATGTATGCACATGTGCGTGCGTGCGTGCGTGCGTGCGTGCGTACACACACACACACACACACACACACAGAGAAACACCAAGCAGAAGAGAGGTTTCAAAGAGAGCCATCCTTTAACAAATGCAGATCTTGCAGATTGTAGATTAAAGTACTGTGTTTTCCCAAAAATAAGACAGGGTCTTATATTAATTTTTGCTCCAAAAATGCATTAGGGCTTATTTTGGGGAGATCTTTTAATTTTTTTCATGTGCTACAATCTATATTTATTCAGATACAGTCAGACTATGGAATGCCCTCCCGACTGAGATTCGTCTGGTGCCTACGCTGATGACATTTCGGCGCCAGGTCAAAACCTTCCTGTTTCAGAAGGCTTTTAATTGAAATAATATCAACTGTGGGTCCTGATGGCAATTTTTAGAGTATATATATTTAATTGTATTTTAATTGTTTTTTTACTGTATTTTAATTGTTGTAAGTCGCCCAGAGACCTTTGGGTAGTGTGGGTGGCATATAAGTTAAATAAACACACAAACAAACATGTCATCTTCTGGTTGCTGTACTATGGTGGAGGGCGGGGTTTCACTTAACTGGGGCTTATTTTGGGGGTAGGGCTTATATTACGAGCATCCTGAAAAATCATACTAGAGTTTATTTTCAGGTTAGGTCTTATTTTTGGGGACACAGGGTATGTGAAATGAGTGGTCCCGAGTTGAGGCTGGAGTGGCAGTTGGGATCCCACTGGAGGCAGGTGGAAAAAGAAGATGGAGGCCGCCATGTGGTAAGCGGCAAAGAGGGGTCTGGTCTGAGAAAACCTGCTCCGGGCCTGGCAGAACAACCCTCTTCAAGGATTGGCTGGACAGGGCAATGGGCATGGGGTTGCCTGCTGGCGGACCTGAAGAACAGGGTTTTCAGTCTGGTCCACTAGCACGTTTAAAAAGGAGGGTGAGCTGAGGTGCGGATCCTCATCAAGCCCCCCTCCCCACCCCATAACTGGTAGCATTGCATTTCTCTGCTTGTATGTTGATTTGGATTGTTAATTTGTTGGTTCCCCAAATTTGTGTTTCATTCATCACAACTTGGTAGAAATTTTCAGGCATTGTGACAGATCTATCCATTGGTTGGACAGCAGGTGGTGACCTGCAGGTCTGGATGGGAGAGAAATCCCCACACAGGAACTGGGAGTGGGGCCGTTATCTGCCCCAGCTTGGGAGGGAGATTTGTCCCTGCCCCAGAAGGAAAGGAACCATGGAGTGGCTTACGTCCGTGTGACCTCCTGAGGGAACTGCCATCCCAGAGGTCTCTTAAGGAGATGGTGGCTTGCATCAGGTGGGCATGCGGGCCTCCCAATGAGGTAGATCCAACCCAATGCCTGGCCAGGATGACTGCTGCTGTGATCAATAGAAGTTGTGGCCTTTTTCTTCCAATTACATTGTGTGTGTTGTGTGTCTGTTAATTCAGGCCCAGTCAGCTCAGCAGTAGGTCGTCAAGATGTATGAAGAAAGGAATCAGCAGATTAGAGGAGCTATCTTCTTTTGGCTGGGAGTCCCTGAAATTGTTGCACAAAATCTGTCATCTCTTATTTGGCAGAGGATTCATGTTAATTCCACCATTTTAATTTGGTAACACAGGTATGTACTGAGCTTGGGTGAAACTTTTGTTTTACTACTATTTCCAGAAACCTTTGTCTAGCATAATCACTGGCCATGATAGCTGGCCAGTTTGGGGGGATCTTTGATTAAAAATAATTAGTTGGCCAGATAGGGGGTTGGGAAATCAGCTGTGCCTCTATGGAGATAAGCCAGTCTGTATAGCCTTGGGCGAGCTTCAGAGTCCCAGAATGCCTCTGGAAATGACAATGGTAAACACCTTCTAAGCATCCTAAACCTGGAAAACCCTGGAATGTGTTGTCAGGTCAGAACTGACTCATGGGAAGATAGTAATAATAATTTTAGTAATAAGAAAAGAGTAACTCCTTAAAGCTCTGTTTTGTTTTCAGAACCTGGAATTAGGTCAGAGAAGAAATCTAAATACAGTGGTGCCTCGCACAACGGGCGCCTCGTAGAGCCTGCATAGGGCGAAAATCACAGAGTAAAGGGACTTTCGCTTTGCGACCCACCGATCAGCTGTTCGGCGGCTACAAAATGGCCACCGGAAGCCCCAAAATGGCCGCACGCAGTGTTTTTGCGCCCTCGTAAAGCGAGGGGAGGGTGCAAAAATGGCTGCCGGCCATCCTGAAGCATCGCTGAACGGTGAGTATTCGGCCCAATTGGCACGCATTTACTTTCACACAGCGAGGGTTAATCCGGAACGGATTAACCTCGCTGTGCGAGGCACCACTGTACAGTCATGTCTAGTAAGTCTCAATCTAATGAGCATACACAACACTAGAAAATTAGTTGTATGCAAATCTGCTGAAATATAGTAGGACATAGTAAGACTGCCTTAACTGCTAGATCAGCATCCGTGGATTCACTACTCTGCTGCCTGAAAATATAAAATAACAACACAGAATTATGTATTTATATGTATTTCCATGGTGCATTTACCAGAACTACCAACTAGATGGCGCCAGAGTATAGCATTCACAAGTTCTGTATTTTTTTGGCATATATGGGGGTGGGGTTCCTATTGTACATTTAATGTTGGTCTTCTAGGCTTAAATTTTTCTTAAACTTTTCTGAAGATCTATTCTCTGCTGGCCAAAATCCTGTCGTGTATGCACATTTACCAAAGGTAAGCAGCACACTGTAATTTGTTGCAGCTTCTCTCTGGAAATTCACAAATGCCTGCTTGAATTTTGAGGTTTGTACCCACCTGCTGGCTTAATCCCTGGCCAAAAATCCAAGCAGGGTGTAGTGGACACCCTGCCTTTCCACATATGGAATGGTATTAGCCTGCACCAATGGGAGCTGTTGGGAGGTGGAGCCAGCTATATAGAAGGGAGGCTGTAGCAGATAGGGAGGTAGAGAAAAGGTCTGAAGAGAAAGGAAGGTAGTTTGAGTTTGAGGCAGAGAAAGAATTTAAAGAGGAAAACGTCAGAGTGTTATCTGTATTAGTTAAGATAGAAAAGGTTAAAGGAAAATACTGAAGCTTTGTGTAACTTTAAGAATGTGCATAAGAACTATTCCTAAAACAACTTGTAATCAATAAACCTGTTTTTATTTCAAAGTTAAGTACTGAACGGACCTCAGTCTTTCATAGGAAACATAGTTGATAGAGATCAACTGGTGCCAGCAAGGTAAAGGGCGTGCTGGGATACCTTCATGAGCTCTGTGTTTGGTGAAACAAGCAGGGGCTACGGGGTAAATGTCCACACAGGGATTCCTTAATCGTCAGTGAGAAGCACCTGTAAGTTATGTTGTTTGCCTTCCACAGGTGTAACTGAGCAACAGGGTTTTGGTTTGTTCATTCCCATATATGCATACAGACAGATCATGTAGGGCAAATGAGACACTACTTCACCTCAGCCTCCATCATGTCTCCAAAACACACCCCAAACCAAAATCAATGGAAGAGTAGGGAAATTGCTAATCATGAACCATTTCCTCATTCTTCTCTTTATCCAGAAAGTACGTTGCTGCCTTGGAAGCAGCAAAATTATTTATAACTTCATGAATTATTGCTTCTGAGCATGCTCCCAAATGGTTGGTCCCTCATAGGCATTCTTGTCTCGAGAGACCATGGTAACATGCTCTGTATGGAGGATTTGGAACAGCGTCTAGTGTTTTGATGCTGTACGCAAAGCTGGAGTGTCCTCTGGGTAAAATAATATGGAGGATAGGCTGTTACCCAACCAGCAAATCCCCCCTCTCCACGTCACTGAAATAGTCCAATGGAAAGGCAAGAGCCAATACAACTGGTTTCAGTGACGTTGCAGGAGTTGACAGAATGACACGAACTGCCTCCGGGACTCCGGCTCTAGATTTTGCATCAAGGTTAACTCCTGAAGCCTTTTCCATCAACAAGGCAGTGGAGGTTTGAAGTCAGAGTTTTCCTTCTCCTAGATGGGCTGCCTTCCCAGGCTAACAAGTCCCACCTACCCAGGCTGCTCGTTCATGGCATGGAGGCTGATGGGGGCGCCTCAGTGGGGGTTTGAAGTCAGAGTTTTCCTTCTTCTAGATGGGCTGCCTTCCAGGGCTGAACGAGTCGCACCTACCCGGCCTGTTCCCTCACGGCATGGAGGACAATGGTGGTGCCTCAGTGGGAGTTTGAAGTTGGAGTTTTCCTTTCCTAAGCACAAGCCGCTTACAAAGTGCTGGAGGAAGCTGCCTTTCATCTTCCATTTCTGATTATGGTGTTATGCCTCCAATTTCATATCTTCTTCAGAGTC